TCGCGCGCGCGCGACCCGCAAACCCCTCCCCCTGCAGGAGCTGCTGCCTCCCAGCGACGAGGGGCCCTCTGCATTTTCACGGCAGAGGGAAAGGCGTCCATGGGGTGGTGGGTGGGTGGGGGTCCCTTCTGCCATAGAAAGCTGGGTCCCTGGCTGGGTTTTTTGCAAGCTGCAGGAAGGCTTCCTGAGAAGGATCTGCGCGCGCAGCTGTGCGGGCACCGTGGCAAGGTGCGTTTCCCCTGGCCAAGACCTGACCCAAGAACGGGGCTTCCCCGCCCTCGGCCCGCGTGCCAGAGCTCCCACCCCTCTTCCTCCGCTGGCCTGCCTCACGGACCCCTTTCCCTTGCGCCGGTGGGGCTTCCCTCCTGCATTGCCTCCACTCCACCATCACATTGGGACGGGCAGCCGTTTCTTGTGCCAAAGGGTGAGCCCACGCCGGATAGAATGCTTTTTCTCACGGGCGTTTTTGTGCCAAGAAAAGCCCCCTGGAGGGTTGGTAAGTTGGGGAAGCCTAAGTAGTGGGGCAAGACTCTTAAAAAAATAAAATAAATAAAAATCCCCTTTCTGATGCACGTGAGAACTTGGCTCCCCGGGTGGGCCTTGCAAGCCCCTCGGCGGGGTGCTGAGGTACGATGTGATCCTTGCTGTGTGTGCGTGTGAGTGCCTGACAGGTGCCTGTGCGGGTGGATGAAGGCGTGCCATTGTGGGTCTTTTTTTGCAGTAGCCACCGAGGGGCGGGGGGTCAGTCTCCTTGTAGAATGTACCCTTTGGATCCCCCTTTTTCCGGTCCAGAGAATGGATTTAGCATTGTTTAGTAATTAATGCAGGTTTTTAATAAAGGAAGAATAAAGCATTTACTATCTAAAGTGCGTGTGCCTAGTTTCTCAGCGTCCCTCTCTGCAAACGGAGGCAGAGGAAGTTTGGCTTGTAAATATCAAACATGGAGTATTTCGTATGGACAGCCAAGGAGGGGGAACGCTGCTTAGGGGATTGGCGCCTCAGGTGGGAGGAAAACGGTGGGAGGACCAGCGCTTGCTTACTCCTGTGTCGGAACAGAATTACGCCACTGCAATTCACAAATGGCCGTCTTTGCAATCTTTATTGAGAAGTTATGAAGGAAGCTTGTGAGGCCCTGGGGCTGAGCACCCCCCTCCCTGGGTTCGCTTTAGCCCAGATGCAACACTCTGCGCTTTGCTAGTTGAATTCCTGCCTGCTGCTGCAGCCGTCTTGAGTTCAGATGCCCACCGACCTGTGCCCTTGGCTGTGCGACCCGCAGCTGGTAGCAGTTGCTCCGAACATCGGGCGGGCGCCAAGCTGACCTGGGCCGGGTTTAAAAACGGGTCCCGCTTCTCCTGCTTTTACAGGCGCTTCTAAATATTTCTTTACACTGCTTTCTTCCCACCATTTCCAAAAGGCGGCATCAGGGAGGGCCTGGGCCGTTGCAACTTACGGTGAAGCAGAACGTCTACAAGAGGCCTGCTTTTAAAAACCTCGTGCCCTGTGAGGACGAGTAGCAGGACGTCACTTCCTGGGATCAAACTTGGTTTTCTCTACTATGTAGTTCAGTGCAAAAGAAGAAGGAAGAGGAACTGATCCAGGCATTCAACCGGAAAGCAAGACGGGGCATTTGCGCTTTCAGTGGCTGTAGGAAGGGAACTTTGCTAGTGGAGCTTTTAGGGCCAGCGAGGCGCCTGCTGAAATCCTTCCTGCCTGGGGATGGAAGATGGAGGGATCCTACCTGGCCTTGCAGGTCGGCGACCTCCCCGAGCCTCCCACCCGGGGGACCCAGTTGCCTCCAGCTCCGACCGGCTTTCAGAAAGGG